CACTTTCTTTCTCCTTGCTTTCTTTTGCTTCACTATTATATGGTTAAAATGCTTTTAATACTAAAAAAAAAAATAAAAAAATAAAAAAACAGAAGAGATCCACAACACTAAATTTTATCCCCAAGTAACTTTATTCCCATCAGTTTTTTACTGACCTCAATTAGTCATTTTATTCCTCCTCTGTATCTCTCTTCCAGTGTGTAACCTTGCGCTAGCCTATTTTCTGCCTCTTACACCACCACCCATTAAGATCTTATCCTCAGGAGTAGGATATTCTATACTACCTTATTTTCTTTCCCCTTAATAGGGCACTAGGCAAGAAGTCAGAAGTTTTGAGACCTTATAGACTCTAACTTTTCTACTTCATTCTTTGAACAAAGAATTGCAACTGGACGAAATAAGGAAAGGCTACTTTTAAATTGTTAATGTCCTGGGACTACAAGTCCATTTTCTGCAAACAAACTCCTGAGCTACTCCAATTCACACTATCAGTTACTACCTCCTAAGGATGGCATAAAACCAGGTGCTCAATTAATAATAGGCAGTATAGTCCAGCAATTCCCAAACATGATGGAGGCTTCCATGGCTAAATGTAAAATATATATATACTAGAGGCCTGATGCACAAAAATTTGTGCACTCGGGGAGGCGGGAGGGTCCCTCAGCCCGGTCTGTGCCCTCTCGCAGTCTGGGACCCCTCGCGAGATAATGACCTGCTGGCTTAGGCCTGCTCCTGGGTGGCAGAGGGCAGGCCCAATCCCTAGGTGCAGCCCCTGATCGGGCTCAGAGCAGGGCTGATTGGGGAGGTGGGGTGCCACACCTGGTCACACACAGAGCAGGGCTGATTAGGGGCTTGGGGAGCTCCCCCCTATCAGGCACAGAGCAGGGCCGATCAGGGGGTTGGGGCGCCGTACCCAGTCACACACAGAGCTGCAGGGTAATCAGGGGGTTGGAGAGCTCCCCCCTATCAGGCACAGAGCAGAGATGATCAGGGGGTTGGGGCGCCTTTCCCTGTCACGAACAGAGCAGGGCGGATAGGGAGGGTGTGGCCCCGCCCCCTGTCACACACAGAGCTGCAGGGAGATCAGGGGGTTGGGGAGCTCCCCCCTATCAGGCACACAGCAGGGCTGATCAAGGGGTTGGGGAGCTCCCCCCTGTCACGCACAGAGCAGGGCCGATTGTTGAGGAGCTCCCCCCATCCCTCACAGAGTAGGG